TCGGCACTGCACGGCACGGCTCGGCACTGCACAGCTCGGCACTGCAGCACCCAGCTGGCACTGCACGGCACAGCAGTGTATGACTTGGCCACTGCACGACTCCATTCGGTGCTGCATGGCACAGCTCGGCACGGCACGGCTCAGCGCAGCAGTGCGCAGCTTGGCACGGGCAGACACCGCGCCCCGGGGCACGGCTCGTCACGGCTCAGACCTGCACCGCGTGGTGCCACGCCGCCGAGTTTGGCTCCGCAGGGCTCACCGCCGCGCTGCACGGCACGGCTCGGCTTGGCGCAGCCTGGCACTGCTTGAGCGCGCGTGGCTCGGGCGCTGCACGGCCTGGCATGGCGTGGCACGGCTTGGCACAGCGCTGCCCAGTGCTCCTCGGCTGGGCATGGCACAGCTTGGCTCAGCACCGCACGGCCAGGCGCGGCTTGGATTTCCCCAGTACGGTCCAGCCATGCTGGGCTCAGCCCAGCTCAGAGGTGGCTTTGGCCCAGCTCTGCACGGGACCAGCTGGGCCCGGCTCAGCTTGGCCCAGCACGCCGTGGCGCAGCTCGGTTTGGCTTGGCTTGGCTTGGCCCGTTCCGGCGTGGGTTGGCTCACCGCGGTCTGGCCTGGCTCAGCACTGCGCGGACAGCGCTGGCACGACCCAGCCTGGCTCGCCTCAGCCCTGCATCACCCCGCCTGGCTCGGCTCGGCTCGGCTCGGCCCCCGACACGACGCTCGCCCGCCTGGGCTCGGCGCGGCGCGGCGGGCGCTAGGACCGCGCGGCGGGCGGGCGGCGCGGCTCGGTGCTGCAGTGGAGGCGGCGGCGCTGCGGGAGGAGGCCTGGCCGGGCAGCGCAGCGGCGGCGGCGGCGGCGGCTCGGCACGGCTCGGCACGGCTCGGCACGGCTCGGCACGGCTCGGCACGGCTCGGCACGGCGCGCCGGGCCCGCACCGGCCCAAGGTAACAGTCTCGCCGCGGCGCGGACACGGGGGGTCCCCGCGGAGCAACGGGATGGGGGGGCTCACACACACACACACACACCCCCCCCCCCGCCCCTTTCCTTCGGCACCCCCCGCCTCGGCTCGGGGAGACTCGGGTGGCTTCGGCAGCGCTCGGCTCGGTTCGGTTCGGCTTCGGCAGCGCTCGGCTCGGGTTCGGGTGGGTTCGGCTCGGCCCGGCCCGCGGAGCGCGGCCCGCACTCCCCCCCCACACCCCCCCCCGCCTCGGTGTCCCCCGGTGTGTCCGTGTGTGTGTCCGTCCGTCCGTGTGTGTCCCCCCCCCCCCCCACGGGGGGCGTCGCGGCGGCGGGCGGGGGCTGCGGCGGGGCCGGGGGGGGGTTGCAGCGCCGAGCAGGAAAACATGGCAGCGGCCGGGCTGCCGGGCCCGCCTCGGCCCCCCCCCCGCCCCGGCCCCCCGCGGCCGCCCCCGCTCTCGGCTCGGCGGGCGGGGATGGGGGGGGGGGGGGGAGCGGCGGTCCCGGTCCGTCCGTCCGTCTGTCCGTCCGTCCGTCTGTCCCCGGCGCCGCCGTGTCCTTGAGCGCCGCGCCGGGCGGCTGAAGGGCAGCGCGGGGGGGGCCCGGCCCGCTCCCCGCTGCGGGGGGCTGCCCGGGGAGAGGGGGGGGGGGGGGGGGTGTCACCGTGTGTGTGTGTGTCCCAACCCACCCCCCCCCCCATCCCCGTCCCACCGGCAGCGGCGACCCCCGCCGCGACCCCCCCGCCGGGACCCGGTTCTTGCCCCCCCGCCCCCCGGGGCACAGTCACCCCGCGGGGGGGGGGGGGGGGGTCGGCTGTGCCGCCTGCCAAAAGTTTTTTTTTTTTTTTTTTTTTTTTTGAGCACCCCAATAAATACCCCCCCACACCCCCCCCCCCCCTCCCCCGGGGGGGAAGCAGCAGAGCCGGGGAGGGGGCGGCGGGGGGCACAGGCCCGGCGGGGTGCTCCCCGCTCCGCCACGGCCCCCAGCTCCTTCCCCTTCCCCGCTCCCCCTTTTTATTTTTCCACCCCCCCCCCCCCCCCCGCTTCGTTTTCGGGTGTTCGTGTGCGCGAACCTGCGGGCAAATGAAATTTTCCTCTCCGCTCAGTTCCTCTTTCTTTATTTCTTCCCTTTGTGTGACGTAGACGGTGTCACCACGGGATTGGCGTTGGGTGCCGCGCCGAGCGCGCGGTGCCAGGACCCACGGCGGCCGCCCGCATCCTGCCCGGCGCTGCCACCGGCCCCTCGCCCGCCCCGGGGACCGGGACCCCCCGGCCCAAACCCCGGGGAGCCGCGGGGAGCCGGAGGCGAGCGGATGTCGCCGGAGCCGGCGGCTGCTCCCGGCAGCTCCCGCGCCGGCCGCTGGCCTTTCCGTGCTGAGTCAGCTCGAAACTTCCTAGCGGGAGCCGCTTTTTGGTGACACGCCGCGCCCGCCGCCTCTCGAGGAAAGGCGGGATGCCGGTGCCGGCTGGCGAGGCCGCGGCGAGGCCGTTTGCCCGGCGGCCGACGAGCGACGGCTGCGCCTCCAACACCCTGGCAGCCGCTGCTTCGCTGCCGGTGCTGCCGTGCTGTGCCACACTGTCCTGTGCTGTGCCATGCCACACCGTGCCATGCCGTGCCATGCCACACCGTGCCGTGCCGTGCCGTGCCACGCCGTGCCATGCTGTGCCACACCGTGCCGTGCCGTGCCACACCATGCTGTGCCGTGCCGTGCCACACCGTGCCGTGCCACGCCGTGCCATGCCACACCGTGCCGTGCCGTGCCACGCCGTGCCGTGCCACACCGTGCCGTGCCGTGCCACACCATGCTGTGCCGTGCCACACCGTGCCATGCCACACCGTGCCGTGCCGTGCCGTGCCACACCGTGCTGTGCCGTGCCGTGCCGTGCCACACCGTGCCACACCGTGCCGTGCCACACCGTGCCGTGCCGTGCCACACCGTGCCGTGCCGTGCCACACCATGCCGTGCCGTGCCATGCCACACCGTGGCAGCCACTCGGGGACTGTCCGGCAGTGGTTTTCGTGCAGGGATTTTTAGGACTCCACACCTGCGCCGTCCCGGCGCCGGGGCTCTGCGCTGGCTTGCGGCACCCGGCGGGGAAAGCGGCGTGGGAACCGCCGGCCACGCGTGTGCGTGTGCCTGGGACACGCGTGTGCCGGGCGCACGCGTGCCGCGGCTCGGCGGTGTTTGGGCCTGCGGAGATGCCGTCTGCTCCCCGTGGCGCTCCGGGACCCGCTCGCCCTCGAGGCCGCGGGTCATTTTGTTGTTTTGTTTTGTTTTGTTTTGTTTTGTTTTTTAACGCCGTTCCAGCCTCCCGCGGTGCCGGCTAAACTCGCCTAAACCTGGCGGGAGGGTCGTCGTGCCGAGCCGCCGTCCCGCTTCCCCCGCCGCGGGGCCCGGCACGCGCGGGAACGTGCCGCCGCCGGTTGGGCCTGTTCCCGCGGTTAACCGCCCTTCCCAGTTCAAAGCCCGTACCTGAGCGCTGGTTTGCATCGCTGCGGCTCCCAGTCCCGCTCCCCTGCCAGCTGGAGGGTTTCCGTGCTGCCCGGGGCTCTGCCGGCGGCGGCACTTGCTCGCCGTAATCACATCATCTCTCAGCCCGTTTGGTTTTTTGGGTTTGTTTTATTTTTTTTTTTTTTTTTTTTTTTTTTTTCCCTTCCCGGTAAGCTGAGCACGTCGAGCTCCTCGGCGGCGAGGCGTTCCCACAGCTCGCCCGTGGCTCCGCGGTGAGCCGGCTTCGCTCCGTCCCGGCACCAGCTCCCGGCCTGGGGGTCTCCCGGGGGCGGTTCTGCCCGACCCCGGCTTCCCGGGGTCCGGCTCTCTTTTGGGGGCCGCGGCCCGTGTTTCGGTTCGCCGGCGGCGCTCCCCCGGGGCGCAGGGTGGATGGGGCCGGTTCGCTCCTGGCTCCGTTTTGGGGAGCCTGCTTGCGAGCGTGCCCCGGCACCTCATCCCCCCCCAAACCGCCCCCGCCGGGACCCGGCAGCGGTCCCCGGGCGGCTGTGGCGAGGGCAGGAGCGGCTGGCACGTGCGGCCGGGCACTTCCCTCCCCGCCACGTGCACCCCCCGAGCAGCGTGGCCAAATATTTTGCTCGTACGTTATAATTACGGGGGGGGGGGGGGGGGGGGGAGAGGGATGAGGTCAACGCTTTGCCCGCGACGGTGGTTTCGGCACGACCATCCTTTCGAGGTGATTGCAGGGGAGCTGCCGCCCTTCGGCTAAATTTTGGGCCCCCGGGGACACCCACCCTGTCCCTGGTTGGCCCTGCCAGCAGCACCCACGCCGCGGGGGGGGGTGTTGGGGGGGGGGGGGGAGCCCCCCCGCTGTGAGTCAGGGGTGGGGGGGCGCAGGGGGTGGGGGCTGACTCACGGCCGTGGCTCCCGTCCCCTCTGAGTCAATCCTGAACTTCTTCCCCGGCGCTGGGGAGGAGGAGGAGGAGGAGGAGGAGGAGGAGGAGGAGGAGCGCGGCTGCCCGGGGGTGGCGGTGACTCAAAGTGACAACAACAATAATAATACGCTGCGGCACTTGTCACGGGAGAGGCGCTTGGACGGGGTCCCTCGTGCCGAAGGCGGTGGGGGACGCACGAGTGGACCCCGTCCAAACCCGGGGGGGGGTGTCACCGCGCCGGGGGATGCTGCACGCAGGGTCACGTTGGGACAGGGAGGGGGGGACACACACACACACACACACACACACCCCCACGCACGCACACACACACTGCAGTGGAGGTGTCACCCGCCACCGGCGCGGGGGGCTGTCGGGGACCCCGCTCGCCATCACCTAAAATGGCCGTTTGGGTTTCTGCGGGGTGCCGGCTGCGGCACGGCAACGGCGGGCGCCGGCGAGGCCCCTAAATATATATAAATATATATATATATAAAAAAAAAAAAAAAACAAAAAAAAAAAAAAAAAAGGCGGTTTTCTTTTTTCCTTTTATTTTTTTTTTTTTTTTTTTTTTTTGTCAACGCCGCGTGTCTCATCCACCCATCGCAGGTAACCTACTTTGAAACGCCTCTGCCGTGCGGCGAGCGTGACTCGCCGGGGCCCCGCCGTGCGGGAGCGGCGCGGCGCGGGGTTGGGGCTGCCGGTTCCCCCGCGCCCCGTCAGCCGGGGGGTCAGCCGGAGCCCTTAAATAGGGGAGGCAGGAGGGAAGGCGGCGAGTCCCTCCCCGCGCCTCGGCGGCGAGCGCCCGACGGGGGTCTGTGTGTGCGTGTCCCCCCCCCCCCGCATCGGCCGGGGGATGCCCCGGTGCTGCCGGAGGAGGGTTTGGGTTTCGGCGGCCTAACGCGGGGACACGGGGCCGCAGCCCCCCCCGTGCCGGGTAAGAGCGCGGGGGAGCGGGGCCGGTGTCGGGGGGCCGCGGCGGTACCCGCACGGGACCCCCTCCCTGCGGGGCCACGCTCGCCCCACACGGCCCTTTTTGGGGGGGGGGGGGGGGGGGGGGGAGCGGGAGGCAACCGGGCTGCTCCCCGTCTTTGTTCGGCGGCCCCGGGGGGGGGGGTGGGGTGGGGGGGGGTTGGGGGGGTGCTGCCCGCCGGGTTTGTACGCAGCCCAACTATTTTTAGTGCGTTTTTGGAGACCATGTTTGCTTGGATGCGAATCAAAGCCCGCGAGCTGCTGGCCCTTCGGCAGCGCCAAGCGGGGCGGCTGGCGGCCCGGGGGGGGGGGGGGGGCAGGCGGGGGGGGCTCACCCCGGGGCTGCCGGAGGGACCCCGCTGGGGGGGGGGGTGCGGCGGGGGGTGGCCAAGGCATTTTTTGGGGCTGCGGGGACATGCCGGCAGCCCAGCGGGGAAGGGCAGGCAGGGACCCGCCGGGCAGCGGGGACCCCGGCACCCCCGCAGTGTCTTTGGGGTGCAGAGGGACACCCCCCACCCTCCCCGGGGGGGGGTCGGGGCACCCCCGCTGCGGGGGTGCCTGGGTGCAGCCGGGGTGTCCCCGGGTGCTTCCCGGTGGCACGTGTCCCCCCCGTGCCCGCGGCGTGGGTTTTGTCGAGGCACGGCACGGCGGGAGCGGGGCGAGGGGTTCCGGGGGGGGGCACGGCCAGGGCTGGGGGGGTCCAGCAGCACCCCGGGGAGGCGGCCGAGGTGCCGTGCCGTGCCGTGCCGTGCCGTGCCGTAATGCTGGCGGCACCGCAGCTGCCCGACGGGCATGGGGGTGCTCGGGGTGCTCACCGAGGGGCACGGGGGTGCCGGGGGCGGGGGGGGCTCCATGGGGCGCAGGCATGGCAGAGGGATGGAGGGGCTGGTGCCGGGGGGGGGGGGTGGGGGCCAGAGCCGGGGCACCCATGGGCGCTCCCCAAACTGGCGAAGGGGGGACGGGGAAGCCCTTCCGTGGTCCCCCCCGGCTGGCGCGGGGCTGTGCGTGGAGGGGGGGGCTGGGGGGGGGGGGAAGAAGGGGGAACCGCCGCCCCCACCCCATGTCCTGCACGCCCATCCCATGTCCCGCACCCCCCCCCCCATGTCCTGCACCCCCACCCCGCACCCCCCAGCCTGCATCCTGCACCTGCATCCACCCTGCACCGCCCCCCGCACCCCCCAGCCCACCCCCCCGCACACCGCCCAGACCTGTTGGTGTGAGGGGGACCCCCCCCCCCAATTCCTCCCCCCCCCGCACAGCACCCAGCGCCACCGCGGGTGCCCCGGTGCCCCCCCCCCCCTTCTCTCTCCGCACACCGCGGGGCCGGAGGGAGGGGGGGGGGGGGGCGATGCTGCACCCCCCCCCCACCCCCCCCACCCCCCGTGGGGCCGTGGCGGGTTTGGGGGCGCGGCGGCCGGCGGCACCCCCCGCCCCGGCGGGAGCGGGCTGCGGCTGGAAAGCTCTAGAAGCAAATTGCAGCGCCGGTGCCAAAGGCAACAGCAGCCCCGGCCATGGCTACTGCAGCGTTTGCCATAGCAACAGGTGCCGGGGCTGGCGGCTCCCGCACCCGCACCCCGCACCCTGCACCCCCCATCCTGCACCCCCACACTGCACCCCCACCCCGCACCCCGCACCCTCAGCCTGCACCCCCACCCAGCACCCTCACCCAGCACCCCGCGCCCCCTCACTGCACCCAGCACCCCACACCCTGCATCCCCACCCTGCATCCTGCACCCAGCACCCTCACACAGCACCCTGCACCCCACATCCTGCACCCCGCACTCTGCACCCTGAACCCCACATCCCTCACTCCACACCATGCACCCCACGTACTGCACCCCTCACCATGCACCTTGCACCTCCCACCCGCACCCCACGTCCCGCGCCTGCACCCCGCACTGCCCGCCCGCACCCCACACCCCGCACCCCGCAGCGCCCACCTGCGCCCTGCACTCCGTGCTGTGCACCCCACGCCATGCACCCCACACCCTGCACCCCGCAGCCCCCACCTGCACCCCGCACCCTGTGCCATCCACCCCAGAGCCTGCACCGTGCACCCCATGCTGTGCACCCCACGCTGTGCACCGTGCACCCCACACTGCACATCGTGCACCCTGCACCCCACACCCTGCACCCTGCACTGCTGCACCCAGCACCCTGCGCCATGCACTGTCCCATGCACCCAGCACCCTGTCCCATGCACCCAACACCCTGCACCCTGCGCCATACTCCCTGCACCCTGTGCCATTCCCCCAGCACCCTGTCCCATGCACCCAACACCCCGTGCCATGCACCCAGCACCATGCACCCAGCACCCTGTCCCATGCACCCAGCGCCCTGTCCCATGCACCCTGTACCCTGCGCCGTGCACCCAGCACCCTGCGCCATGCACCCAGCACCCTGTCCCATGCACCCTGCACCCCGTGCCAAGCACCCAGCACCCTGCACCCCGTGCCATACTCCCCGCACCCTGTGCCATTCCCCCAGCACCCTGTGCCATGCACCCAACACCCCGTGCCATGCACTCTGTGCCATGCACCCAGCACCCTGTCCCATGCACCCAGCACCCTGTCCCATGCACCCTGCACCCCGTGCCAAGCACCCAGCACCCTGCACCCCGTGCCATACTCCCCGCACCCTGTGCCATTCCCCCAGCACCCTGTGCCATGCACCCAACACCCCGTGCCATGCACTCTGTGCCATGCACCCAGCACCCTGTCCCATGCACCCAGCACCCTGTCCCATGCACCCTGCACCCCGTGCCAAGCACCCAGCACCCTGCACCCCGTGCCATACTCCCCGCACCCTGGGCCGTTCCCCCAGCACCCTGTCCCACGCACCCCGCACCCCACGCCGTGCACCCCACAGCCAGCGCGGGCCGGGGCTCTGCCGCCGCCGCGGGCGATGCCGGGGACAAGGGCCCGGCCCAGCCCGGCTGAGTCAAGGTTGTGGCGCGTTAATCATTGCCGGGGGGCCGGGGCGGCGGGTGGGGGGCGGCGGGGCCGGCGCTCCCCCCCTCACCCCAACGCTCTCCGCTTCCCGCAGGGGCAGGAGGATCCAGGCAGGCGGTGGGACGCAGGGGCTGGCCGCTGCGGCGGGCGACGGCTCCGGGACCCCCCTCGTCGGCGCGGAGAGCCGGAGCGCGGCGGCGGCGGGGGCCGCTTTGGTGCTTGAAGAGGCGACGGTCCCAGGCGCCCGCCCTCGCTCCCCACCATGCCGTCCAGCGGGACCCTCGACGCCAGCAGCCCCGCTCCGAACCGCGAGGCACTCGACACGCACAAGGTAGGGTCCCGCCGCGGCTCCCGGCGCATGGGGGGCTGCCGAGGGGGGGCGGGGGGTGGTGGTGGGGGGTGTCCCCCCATCACTGCGCTTGGCACCGGTGCGCTCCAGGGGTCCGGCTCGCTCCCGGCTGACAGACACGGGGGAAAAGGGGGGAGCGTGGGGTCCCCGCTGCGCACCGGCCCCTCTCCCCCCACCCTCGCCGCGGGGGGAGCCCTGAGCCGCGCGTGGCCGGGATTAGCGGGGATTGAGCTATTCCTGGCGGCGGGGCAGCGCGGGGAGGGGACGGCGAAGCGGAGACCTGCTGTCACCTCCCAGCCCGGCTGCGGGGAGGGGGGGCTGCCCCCCAGCAAAGGGGCTGCGCTGGCTCCGGGGCTGGCTGGGTGCCGGTGGGGTGGGTGCTGGGTGCTGGGTGCTGGGTGCGTGTCCTGAGCTGTGGAGCGGTGGGAAGGGGACGCGGGACGCGCGTCGAGAGGTGGCCCCGCTGCCAGGCTGGAGCCCAACTCATGCCGGTCCCGCTCCCCCGTTGTGGGGGTTGTGGGGGTGCGGGGGTCCCTGCCCTCCCCTCGTGCAGCGCCCGTGCTGGCGGGCGGCCCCCCCATCCCTGGTTTGTGTCCTCCAGCCGGAGAGCAGCTCTGTGGGGAGGGGGGGTACCCCCCAAGCCCGCGGCAGGGCTGAGCCGGGGCCGGGTGACGGGCTCTGACCGCGTCCTGGGTGCTCCGCGGCGTCCCCCGCCACACGAGGACACGCGGCTACTCCCGGTGCCGGCGAAGGCATCGCTCTTCCCGGGGAGAGGAGCAGCGTCCCGGCGGGGCCTGGCCTGGTCGGGGCGTGGGGACCGGGGCCAGCTGGACGCCGTCCCGCTGCGGTGCAGCGCGGGGCCAGGGTCATCCCAGTTCCTCCGGGCCGGCTCGGCTGTGCCGGTGCTCCCCGTCCTCCGGCCATCGCCTCCTGTCTGTCCCTTGGGAAGCACCCGGCACGTTTTTGGCACGCCTAGGTGGGACGAGCGAAGCGGGGGTCGGTCCCGTGCTTCCCCGCGGGGTGCGTGCGGGTCGCCGCGTGTTTTCGGTGGAAGCACGCGGCAGAGCTCGCCCTCGAAAGCAGGACCCGCCGGTGCCGGAGCCCGGGGTGCCCGGCGGCACACGTGGGCTCGGCGGCAGCGAGCGCGCCCGGCCGAGCGCTGTCCTGGCCTGACCCTGCCGGGACGCGGCGTCGCCTCCCCCGCGGAGGTCACCTCTGCTGAAGGTGCCGGGAGGACGAGGCCGTCCCCCGCGGCACCGCGGGTCACGCCGGTGCCGGCTGCTCTCGGCGCGGACCCGGCGAGGCTGAGCTCCGGCTCCCACGCGGTGATGGGTGGGGTGGGGTGGGGTGGTCTCCGCACCCGCCTTCTCCCACCCCACGGGGCCGGTTTCCCCGCGCTGCCCAGGGCTCCGGCTCCGGTGCAGCCGGGAGCTGGGACCCGGCACAGCCAGCACTGCGTCATGCCGCAGCTCTCCTCCGCCGCGGTGGTTTCCCTCCGGGTTGTTGCTTGGCAGCGGTGCCGGAGCGCGGCGCATCGGGGACGCGCCGGGCGGCCCCACGCCCGCCTGGGCCCCGGGGGAGAAGGGCAGCGAGGGGCCGCGGCTCCGGCACCCCCCACGGCGGGCTGGGGGGGCGCAGACACCCCCCCCCCCCCCCCCCCGCAGCCCTTTCCACCAGCCCTGCTCACGCCCGCGCTGCACCCCTATTTCTCCGGCGCCCGCCTTGGTTTTGGGGTGCCGGCAGTGCCGCTGAGGGGGGTCCCTGCAGCCCCGGTGCTGCCGCGCACCCCCTGGCTTGGTGCGGGGGGGGGCTGTGCTGAGCGGGGAGCTCATCACCTCGTCCCCATGAGTGTGGGGGGCAGCTCCCCATCTCCACCACGGGGACCCCCCCTGCCCCACCCCGCTGCTGCGTCCCTCGAGCCGCCTGCGCCGGGCCCGGGCACTGGGAGGAACCACATCGGTGCGTACCGCTGCCGCTTGCGTGGTGAGACGGGGCGGGGGGAGCACAGAGACACCCCCCCTCCACGGGGACTGCGGCACCCCCCGGGTGGGGGGGCGTTACCTGGGGACCCTGCAGAGCACCCCCAGAACCACCGCCCCCCCCCCCCCCCCAGCCACATCCTCTCCCAGCCCGTGTGCCAGCGCCGCGCACTCGACACCCCGCCGTACCTTTCCTTTACACCCGGCGTAAACGCCGCCGCGGCCCGGCTAGAGCCGGGGTGTGCCATGGGGCAGCTGGCCGGGGCCAGGCGCCGGCGGCCGCGGCAGCACCGGTGCAAAAGGACGGGTGTTGGGGGGCTCGCTGCTGCCAGGAGCGGGGCTGGACGGGGGAGACCCCCCCAGGCTCCGTGGTGCTGCCGGGTGCGGGGGCAGGAGCTGCTCGTTGCCCCCGCGGCGCGGGGACAGGCTGCAGGGTGCCGGGGTCACCCCGGCTCTGGCGCCCGTGAGGTGCGGTGGGCCTGTGGGGCAGTGACCCCCAGGAATCCCCCCACCACCCACCACCCACCACCACGCCCCCCCCGGGGATGGAGGTGGAACTGTGATCCCGGCGTCGTCCTTGGACCCGTCGCACAACGTTCCGCCCGGGACCGTGTGGGGAAAGGGGGGGGGGGGGGGCCGAGCCCACCGGTGCCGCCTCACCCTGCTCGGCGGGTGCCGGGACCGGGTACGGTCGTTGTGGGGTCGGTTGGGGATGAGCCGGCACGTGGCTCCCGCGCGCACGGGGGGGAAACGGGCAGTAAAGCCGGGGGGGGACACACACACACACGCACAACACGCAGGCTGGTGCCCCGTGGCCGTGGGGCACGGCGTGTCCTGACCCCACGGGACCTCGGGGGGTGTGTGGGGGGGGGGAAGCAGGGCAGCGGCGGGCAGGAATGCGGCCGGGGCTGGCGGCTGCGGGGCCGTGCGAGTGCAGCTGGATGTCGGTGCTGTCTGGCTGCCAGCCCCATCCCCTCCCCGGCCTCTCCCTCGCCAGCCCCCCGCCGGCCTCTCCTCCTTCCCCGGCTCCCCCCTCCGCGGCCTCTTCCTGCCTTGGCTGCAGCCGCCGGGATCTTCTGGGGCTCAGGTGAAACCGGCCCCGCCGCGGGACAGGCCGGGGGCCCCCGCACACGCGTGTCCCCCCCCGAACCCACGCCGCGGCACCGGGGCACAGGCCCCCCGGCACGCTGCCGTCCTCGGGGCGGGGGGGTGGGGAGGGGGGCTGCGGTGGTGGCCCCGGCGCGGGGGGAGCAGGTTCATTTCCCGGCGAGGTGTTCCCGCCAGCACCCAGGGAGGGGCTGGGGGGGGGGACATGGGATGGGGAGAGGGGTGCGAGGTCCCCCGAAACACCCACGCTGGCGGGGTGCGCGGTGAAGCAGGCTCCGAGGGCAGCCGGGCTCCTGCTGCTGGCCCGTGTCCTCGGGCTCCTTGCAGGCCCAGCTGTGCCATGCCGTGCCGTGCCGTGCCGAGCCGTGCCGTGCCGTGCCGAGCCGTGCAGCCCTTCCCACGTGCCGCGGTGCAGGAGCCCCCAGCCCCACACGCAGGAGCGGGGACGTACCCCCCCCGAGCCGACCGCGGCGCAGGAGGGCTCACCCGGTGCCGGCGCCCGAGCCGTGGCAGGAGGAGCCACCGTCACCTTTCTAATGGCACCCCGGGGGCCACCGGTTTGGTGACGCCGGCACCACGGCCACACGCGGCCCTCCGCGGCGCACCCACGGTGCCGGCGATGCCAGCGCCGAGCGGGAGCCGTGCCCAGGACCCCCGGGCTGCCCGGCCGCAGGGCCGGCGGCGTAACCGTCCTCTCTGTCTCCGGCTCGCAGGGGGAAGAGGAGCCCGAGGAGAACCAGAGCAAGGAGGAGAAGCAGGAGCCGGGGACGCCCATGAGGAAAGCCGGGCGGCCCGGGCGGAAGCGCAAGCATGCCCAGGTGAGCCAGCGGGCACCAGGCGCGGGGGGGCTGGGTGGGGGGGCAGCGGGGCGTACCCCCCCCCCCCCGGGGCCGTCCTGCTCCGCCGCGCTGGCGGGAGACTACGGCTCCCGGCGTGCCGCGGGCCGGCCCACCCCCCCGGCGTGCCACAGCAGCCTCCGGCCGGGAGGAGAGCCCGAGGGCGGCGGAGCAGCAGGAGGGGAGCGTGCATGTGTGTGTCCCCCCCACCCAGCTCCACACGGCCCCCCGGCAAGCCCCCTCCTCTGCCCGGCAGCAGCGGCGTTCCGCTCGGCACGGCTTCGGCCGAGGCCCCGCCGTGCGTCTGCTCTGTCTGGAGGGCTGGGACCCCCGTGTGTCCCCCCCCCCCCCCCGCCATCACCACCACGAAGCCGCTCGCCCTCCTCCGGCAGTTGGGGCGGGGGCACGGAGCCCCCGGCCCCACGGGGCTCGCACGTGGGGCTGAGCCCCGGCGGTGCCGCGCTGACCATGCCCACGCCAGCGTGCAGGGCTCGGCTGGCTCCCCCCCTGCTAGCCCGCCTGGCCGGCATCACCAAATCACCCGAAAGGGCTCGTCCCGGGGAGCACCTCGCGGGGCCGCGGCGGTGCTGGGACGTGGCACCCACGGCCGGGGCTGGGGGGGGGGACTCACGGGGGGGTTGCTGCTGGTACCGCCATGAATTCGGTGCTCAGAGGAGGAGCAGAATTTGGTGCCGAAGGCCTGGAGGGAAGACGGGCATCGTGTGTGTGTCCCCCCCCGGGCCTGGGCACGGGCAGGGCTCGCGCAGCGTCCCCGTCCCCGCGGGAGGGCACAGAGGGGCAGAGCTCGCTGGTGAGGAGACAAGCGGGGCCGGGGGTGCCTTCGCTGCGGGGAGGTTACAAAAAGCTTTCGGCGAAGGTTTCCGGCGGCAGAAAGGGTTAATCCTGCGCTTGGACGTGTCCAGATCCGCGCTGCGTGGCGGTGGGGCTGGGGAAGCCGGGACGGTGTGGCCGGGGGGCGGGCGGGGGGTGCGATGTGGGCCGGGGGACCGGGAGCCGGCGGGGGAGCGGGTGGGCTCCCACCGCCCTGGCTGTAAATCCGGCGGAGCGGGAGGTACGTGCCGGGGCCGGGGGGGGGGAACCGTTTCGGTGGAAGAACAATGCTGGCACGGGAACAAATGGGGAAAGTCGTCACGAAGTGAGCGAGCCTGGGAACCAGGAGGTCTCTGGCCGTCGGAGCGGGCGGCACTGGGAGCAACACCCCCCCCCTCCCAGCCCTGCTCCCTGCCACCCCGGCACGGTCCAGCACGGCAGGCTGGCGGCGGTGCCACGATGCCAGGCACCTCCCCGGTGCCCGTCCCGTGCGCACTGGCTGCGTGCTCCCGCACGGTGCCGGCGGCTCCCGCGGCCAAGCCGGCAGAGCTGGCAAACCCCGCGGCCCCGCGGGCACTGCCAGGAGGCCGGGGAAAGCCCCGGGCCGGGTGTGAGCTGCTAAAAATATCCTCCCCGCGGTGCTGGCGCCGGCAGGAGCGGCCGCTGGCCGGGGGCACCGCGCCGGGGTGTGACGTGGGGAGCCTGGGCGAGCGGGCTGGCTCCTCGGGGACCCCGCCGACCGGCACCCGGAGGGCGGGTGGGCTGCAGGAGGGTGCTGAGCACCCACCTCGGCCCGCGCCCGGGTCAAGGACGGGAGCGCTGGGCGGGGGGGTGCGGGGCACCGAGGATTCGTGCCGCTGCCGCCTTCCCGTCCTCGGGCGTCCGGGGGCGGGAGCTCAGCCCCGGGACCCCCGTCAGGGCTGCGTCCCCCCCTGGAAGGAGCCAGCGGCTGCTGGGCAGAACTGTGCCATCCTGAGCTGTGCCGGGCTGTGCCAGGCCGTACCGTGCTGTTCTGTGGTGCGGCGGGTCGTGCTGAACCATGCGGTGCCAGGCTGTGCCGAACCGTGCCGTGGCGCGCAGTGCCATGAAGTGCCAAGCTGTGCCGAACCGTGCCGTGCTGCGCCGTGCTGAGCCATGCCTTGGCTCCAAACCCAGTGCCCCCCAGCCCCAGATGGGGCTCGGCAGCGGGACACCCCCCTCTGCGGATGGTGCGGCGGGGGGCAGTGGCACTCCCGGCACCTTCCCCCTCCCTGGCAGAGGGGCCGTGGCCCAGGGTGCCGCCGGTGCGCCGGGCTGGGGGTCGGCGCGAGGCTCCCCGAGGTGCATCGCGGCTGCCCCCCATCCCTCTGCAGGGACCGGTCAGCCGCGCGTCCCCGCCACGGCCAGCCCTTGCCCCGTAGCCAAAACCCCACCGGTGTCCCCCCCGGCAGCGAGCGAGGTGGCGGGGGCCGTCCATCCCGGCGCGCTCCCGGCGGAGCAGCGTCCTTGGCGGGGGCCCAGCGGAGGGGAGGGGAGCGGCAGAAAGGCCGCGCTTGTTCCCAGGGCCCGGCGGGCGCGGAGGAAGAGGGTGGGTGGGCAGGAAGGCAGACCCGCCGGGGGACGGGGACGGGCGCCGGGGCGGCCAGGGAGGGGCACGGCCGCAGGGTGGGTCCCGGCTTCCCCTTCCCTCGTGCCTCCCCCCCGGCCCGGCGGCCGTGTCCGAGCGGCAGCACCGGGACGTGCCGGCGGCACAGCGGTGAGCCGGGGTCCGGTTCCGACCCGGGTTGATGTGGGTGGAGGTGCGAGGGCGCGGGGAGGCCGGTTTCGGGCGGGCGCCGTGCCACGGCGTGCCGGGTGGGCTGCACGTCCCCGTCCCGGCCGTCGTGCGAGGGGACGCGGTGCCTGTCCCATCCCGGGGGTAACCTCCCATGCCCCCCACCGCGACGGTGCCCGGCGCGGCCCCGCGTGGGGAGGGGGTGCATGTTCCCGCCAGGCTGGCACCCCCACCCCAGCCCCGGCAGCGACGGTTAACGCCGGTGCCGCTGCCGTGGCCTCGCAGCCCCGAGGGGAGCGCGTGCCCCCGCGCCGAGACCCCCCCGCAGCCGCCTGACCCGGCACACATCGCCGGCTCCCCCGGTTCCCCCCGGGAAGCGCCCGCAGCCCCCGCGATTGTTTTCGGTGCGGAGTCCAGGATGCGGCGAAAACAACCGGCACCGCGGCCTGGCACAGCACCTCCGCCTTCCCGGGGGCGACGGCGTCTGCTCGGTCGAGCCGTGCCCTCCCCGGCAGCCAGGATGCCATCCGGCACGGGGAGAAGCCACCGCGCACCCCTGCGACCGGTGGCGACGGCTCGCCTGTCCCCGGTGGCCCCCACCCCGGTGCGTGGACACCCCCGGCACGGGTGACGCCGCCGCGGTGAGCCCGGGTGGGTGCCGGGTGCTGCGCGGCGCAGGCGGGACGGCGTTTGGGGGAGCGCTTCCCTGTGTGGCCGTGGCTCCCCGCCGGTGCTGCTGGGCGCCCCGTGAGGGTCCCCTTTGGCCCCGACCCCCCCCCCCCCCCCACCTTTTCCCCCACCCCAGCCCTTTCCCGGGGCCGGGGCCAGGGCCAGCGAGCGGAGGAAGTGACTCTGCCAGCGAGCCGGGGCGGCCGGGCCGAGCAGGAAGCGCTCGCCACTGCCGCCGTGCCGGGGAGGAGGCGCCTGCGCGGGGGCAGGCGGCAGCGGGACTTGGGGGGGGGGTCTGGGGGGGGGGGATCTGTGCTCCAGCCTGAGGGGACACACCATGGTAAGCAGCACGTGCCCCCCCACCCCCTCCACCGGGCACGCTCCCGGGGTGCTTCGGCACGAATCCGGAGAGCAAAGCCACCTCCGCCACCTGCCACCCCCCCCCCCCCCCCCAGCCTCGCCACCCTCCTGCCCTGCGCCGCGGGGTCCCCTCCTCGGGGTCCCCTTCCCGGCACCCCCCGCGGCAGGGGAGGGGGGGGCCACCCCGGCAGCAGAGGCCCAGCCTGGCCGGCAGCTCGGCGTTTGCTCCCTGGCACCCAGCCACCCCGCTACGGTGCACCCTGGGGCCCGCAGTTTGCCGGGGGACGGGCAGGAGGGTCCCCGTGCCACCGCGCCGCAGCCCCTCCGGCACCGCCACGGGGAACCAGGGTGGAGGGGAGGGGTGGGGGGGGGCTGCGTTTCCCAGCATCAATGCCGCAGAGATGGGGGGGGGGGCCCTGCTCCAGCCCAAGCAGGGTGATTTACCCCCCCCACCCCGTGCGAGCCGGCGTGCCGTGGCTGGGCAGGGCTGGGGGCAAACCTGGAGCCTGACCCCCCCCAGGGATCCTGCAGAGTCCCCGGCACTCCCACTGTGGGACGGGGAGGGGGGACACAATGGGGCTGGGGCTGGTTGCTCCTCGGCAGCACCCATGGGTGCCCGTCCTTAGGGCGTTTGGCTGGGGGGGCGGGGGGAGGCCGGGATGGGCCCCCCCGCACCCGTGGGCAGCGTAGGGGGTCTCCAGGGAGGACGGTGCCGGTGCCAAACCCCAGGGGTGGGTCACCCCCACCATGGGGTGAGTGCACCCCGCCAAGAGCACAGCCAGGAGGGGACCGGGTGGTCCCCAGCACCGCGGCCGACCGGGGCCCCCCCCCGGGGCGAGCGGCGGCAGAGCCCACCCCGCCGCGGCTGCGCCGCGCGCCCGGCTGTCGCGGTGACGCAGCAGCACTTTCACTCTCCTTTTGCCACGGAAACCGCCGAGCCGGGCTGCTCCTCTCGCTCTGACTCCGCTGCCGCCGGCCCGTGCCGAGCCGGGAGGATGGCGAGGGGGACACACACACACACCGGGGCCCGGCGAGCGCTGGCACAGACGGTCCCTTCCCCCGTGCCTCACCCGCGGGTGTCGGCGTCGCCCGTCCGGCACACGCGCGCACTCCCGTCCGCGGGCCCTGGCTCCCGCCGTGTCGCGCGTGTCATGCTCGCGCGTGCGCCAGCACACGGGGTTGTCGTCGCGGGACCCCGGCTCCCCCTGTGGCGCGCACGCACGCGTGGCGGCACCCAGGAGCGCCCGTCACGGGCCGTTCCCCTGACACGCGTGGCAGCCACTCGCCCTGTCCCTTCCCGGCGCGCGCCGCAGTGGCTGGCTCTGTCACGCACACGCGTGCACAGCTGTCGCAGGCCCCTGGCTCTGCA